GAATGAGATGGAGAAGCTGGAAGCCAAGAACGCTAGCTATGCTGACTGCTTCCGTGGCGAGAACAGGCGCCGCACATACATCGTCAGCATGGCTTGGATCATTCAAATTTTCAACGGGCAGTCCATCACCAACTATGCCGCAACCATGCTCCGTGCCATCGGCATGAGCGCTACCGACGCCTTTAGCTACACCATGGGTATTCAGTCAGTCAACATCTTCGCGACCGCAGTCGCCATTGCCCTCATGGGCTCAGTTGGCCGCCGCACGTTCTACCTTTTCGGCTCGGCGTCCATCGGCCTCTGCATGCTTGTCGTTGGCATCATGGGCTTTGCCATCAAATCGGCCAAGGAGGTTGCCATCCCCGTCGCTGTCTTCCTCATCTTTGTCCAGATTGCCTTCAAGATCTCTCTCGGCCCGACCACTTATGTTATTGCGGGAGAGATGGCCTCATCTCGTGTTCGCGCCCAGACCATCGTCATTGGTCGTTCCCTCTACGTCTGCGGCCAGATTGCTGTCCAGCAGCTCAACCCCCGCATGCTCAACAACGATCCCACTGCATGGAATTGGGGTGCAAAGACTGGCATGTTCTATTTCGGCTTCTGTCTGATCTGGGTGATCTGGATCTTCTTCTGCCTTCCTGAGACCAAGGACCGAAGCTTTGCTGAGATTGATTACCTGTTCAAGAAGAAGACACCAGCCCGCAAGTTCCGCGGTGCGCCTGTCGACTGTAAGTTCTACTGCCCCTTTCACTACCAACTTAGTTTTTCTGTGACTAACTCATCTCCTCAGTGTTCGAATTCACGCCAGTGGACCCATCCCAAGAGAAGCTTGCTGGATTGGACGAAAGGGTCGAGCATATCGCTGTTACTGGCGATGAGAAGCGTACTACTTGATAGATTTGAACTTTCAATAGCGTTTCTGCTTAGAGTCAGGAGGCAGATACACCGAGTTGCACAGCCTCTTACAGAGAGGACCTATCGCGAGGTGGTTGAATCAAACAATTTGCTCCAGCTGTGATCTTCTTGAACAATATCAAATCGCAATTGCGCAGTGAATTGATGAAGCCACTCTGTTAATCCGCATGTGCTACGACTCTGAGCTTTTGGGCCATCTTCCATACTAGTTTCGCGGACGAGAGGAAACGTTGATGGTGGCGCACAGGTATCGGTACAAATGCATCCGCTGAGTCTGTGCTTTGCCTAAATCTGGCCCTCGAAAGCCATCCGAAGCTGATACGAGCGTGAACGAGTAGGTATTGGTGGGTTCGAAATGTGCACCTATCGGTTCGGTCCGGCTGGTGCAACGACACGAGGGCACAGCTGGTAAGATAAGCTGGAGACTCTAGTTGGCGGCCTGAAATTGGGTTGTTAGAGGCACCTTCACGTGCTCAGTGTGAGCTCCGGGATGCCACGGGCAAGACCCGTCCGGGCTATACTGCCACACCTGAGCAGGCATCCGGACAGCTTAGTCATCGATTAGATTAACACAGTCAAAGCTCGCATTCGAGTGCGGAAGCGTGTTTGGTTGGGTCGCTTTAAGGGTGAGTGTATGTGTGTCCAGTAGGAGGTGTGTTCGCGGTGAGAATGACACACGTCGAGGAGCACGGACGCGTCACCAAACGTGCGCCAAAACCATGAATCTCACTTGATACGATCAATAGCAAAGATATCGAATGCACAGATTAAAAAAATCTAGAACTTTCAAAAGTTTACAACTAGGCATTCCATCATCTCTCCAACTCCCAACGTCGTGAGGTCTGCATCAATCTGCCAAACCTAATGGTCTGCAGATCAAACCCAGTAAACAGCTCACGCCGCACCAGTATACATTACTTTATCTGCCTGTCTGACTGGAATGGCCTTCATCGTCATGGATAAAGAGTAGATGTAGTAAGAACATTCCGAGCTTCAAGGAATTGTTGCGTGTGCATATTGTGCTCAAAACCTCTTGGAGACCCCACCCTCCACACAGTTTGAAGGCGATTCTCCAACAAACTTGGAAAAGGAACGACGTGGTTCTTGCAAATGTGCAGCCCTGGAGCATAATCCTGGCTTCACCTACCTTAGCGTCCTGCACAGAACCACGGGAGACGTCGTCGATCACTCAAATTACAATGCGCACACCGACAGATTGCTATACAGCTATCGCCAATACCATAGTGAAAGAGCGGTCGGCACAAAGCGTTCTACATCGGTTCGGTCGCTAGGTGTGGGTGTCGACAGCGCCCCGCTTTGTGGACTGTACAGGGACTCGAGCCAATGACAGGGCGGCGTGGGTGACAGGGCGGGCTTGGGAGTTTCGAGGTGTTGTGAACTGAGGAGTTTGGTGATGCGTTGGCGCGGAGTGATGATGAATCGGGTGGGATGGATGGCAGGGTCGAAATGGGGGGGAAATCGTCTGAGATGTCGCTATCGCTGCAGAGCCGCAATGCCGAGTACTTGTATTTCCTGTCGACTTTGTCCGTCAATAAGCCATTCGATAAGACTGCCAGAGTGACCGTTCCATCTCAAGTCGGTTGAAACGAACGAACGTGCACACGAGACGGCCCGCTCCCATCGGCCGCTAAGCCCTACCCTTCACTTGAACCACGATAGCCCAACACCTGACGCTCAATCGCCTTGCCCAACGATGTGAGTTGTGATTCGCCTGCCCCACTGCACACCCTACATCTCACAAGGCTGCACCCTACTGCCCACAACGGGGCTGATGCGGCCTGCGCCACAGCGAGACCCCGCCAGCTCGCACCGCAATGTCGCTGGTCGAGACATGGGTGCGCGAATCCGCAACCGACATCCACGCGCGCCTTGCGGGCGTCCACTTCGAGGCCGCCGAAAGCCCGGACGAGTCGAATACCACACCTTCGAGCCCGGTGCAGAGAGAATACTCGCGCTCCCAGCGCAGCTTCGGCTCCTCCATGGCCCCCGCGCTCATTCACCAGTCCGCCCCGTCGGCGCACCCACCGTCGCTGCGCTCGTGCTACACCGAAGCCACGCCCACCGAGACGTCCATCAGCACCGATATCGTGAACCTGTTCACGGGCGTGACGCTGCTCGAGGAACATAATGGCGTGTTGGAGTTGCCACGGAACCTGCACGTTCACACACCCATGTACGAGTGCGCGTTCTGGTTCCTGAGCTGCGGATACATATCGCACAACCGCGAGGAGTGGCTCATGCACTGTGAAAGCCATTTCCGGGGCGAAGAGCCGCCGCAGACGGTGCAGTGTCCGCTGTGCGAGTGGGCCGTGTCGAGCGACGATGGGAGGGCCAGCTGGCAGGCGAGGATGATGCATCTTGCGACGGAGCATACGATGATGGGTCAGACGCTGCGGACATCGAGGCCGGATTTCGGGCTATTTCAGCATCTGTGGAGGAAGCGATTGATTGACGACCAAGACTTGAAGGAGTTGAATGGCGGGAATCATAACCTGGAGAGGCCACCGGGAAACTATGTCGAGACGAACAGGAGGGGTGGGAGGAGAGAAAGGGATGCCGGGAGGAGGCGGCAGCATGTTCCCGGGAGACAGCCGGATCCACGACGGGTATGAGTTGTGCGACGTTGACCGAGAGGTGTCCATACCGGTGAGACATATGCGAACGAGCGCTTCTGGCCGACCCTTACTTGAACCCTTTTATCGTGGACGCAGTATCCGCATTTCTTATTCTTCGGATGCCATTTATCTCTTTCTACAGCAACATCTACTGGCGCACCCGGATATCCCCCTGGAGTCGACATTTGTTCGAATTTGGCATGCAATCGATGGCGATATTATTGGCGTTGTGAACAAAATCGAGAGAGTTAGCGATTTCATTCCAATTCGACTGTTGTGCTTTTTCTGAGTGCCCATGGCAGTTCAGGTCGCGGGATCTGTCGAATCAACATAGTGTTATCAAAACTCTTTAGCAATAGACACCCACTTCACAACCAAAAATTGTCTTTGGTGATACTCACATCAACATGTCCACAATGTCCACATATATGCGGGCAAAGCAGCTTTATACCACCTCCCGTCCCAACCCATCCCATTCCACACGCCCCATAAATATCCCACCCGCCCCTATCATCCCTCTCAAATCTTACTCGCCAAATTAAAAGCACACAAGCCAGGCACATAGCGCCGCAAAATTCCCTCAGCTTTAACGCGTCTGCCTTGTGCCTCGCGCTAGTGCTTGCCCGATTGGGATTGGTGCAGGCAGATAGGGCTGGCGTTCGCATGTGGTTTGGGATGACTTGCATGGTGGGTTTTGAGAGGGCTGGAGTTAGTGGGAAGAGCAATAGGTGGGTTAGAGCTTAGTTTTGGTAGAATTTAGAAGTGGGTGAGGTTAAGTATTGGGATGTTGGGAGGTCGTGTTGGGAAGATCTTGCGTCCGATTAGCCACATGTATGTATAATTATGGATATTACAATAAGAACTCAGAGTGATGTTCACGGTTGATAGTGCGGCTGGGATGGTGTATGTGCAAAAGGAGGAGTCTGCGAGAACCATTGGAAGTTCCGTTGTACAAACCGTATTGCGGACAAGTATCCTAATATATTATACAAATTTTCCTGCAGTAAAAGAAGTTCCAGCCATATGCATCACATTCTTCTGGACGCTCCTACCGTACCAGTAAATAGGGGCTACAGATATCATGCCTGCCTGCCTCCACTACATACCCGCAACACTATATCCAGTATGCACATGTAGCTATTCGCCAGGGAACATTTCTTTCCCAATGCCTCAAAAGTATTATTCCATATCAAGCACGTATCACACCTCATCTCGATATCCCTCAAACCAACATCCATCCCATTCGCCGATGTCCCCCCGACATTCCCCCGACCCCTCCCTTCCGCGACCCATCGATGACTCGTCCTTTATTCGCAGCCCCGCATTTTACCCGCAATTTGCTGTACCACAACGCCGCAAGCTCGCAGCATCCCAGAACTTGTTCCCTCTTGCCTTGATCAGATTTTCTTTGAATATAATCAAAATGGTTGCACGAAAGTCATAAAACAAGCCCGGTTGGCACAATTGGTTAGCGCGTGAGACTTTTAATCTCAAGGCTGAGGGGTAAGCAGATGTTTACCGCCACCAATTAGTAACGCTCACTAACTTTCTCAAGTTCGAGTCCCTCATCGGGCGTTCATCACTTTTTTTTTTGCAGTTCTGCGTGGCTGTGGGAAGTCCTGTCGTGTTTCCTTTGCCTAAGCAATGATACGAGACTCACATCCATAATTTATAGCTGGTAGGGTGCAGGGCGGTTGTAAGTCTACCCAGCAATATTCTTGCAAGGTAAAATGCATCATACAATCTGTTTCTCTTTAGAAAGGGCAAGCTGAAGTAAGTTGATTTTGAAAATCGTGTATATGTCGTACATTCCTCCCTTAAGCTTCGTCCAAGCCATGTACTTTCCAGATTTCTATATCGTCAAGCGTCCTACTCCTGAGGACTCGCAACCTTGCCCGCTACCAGCGCAATCAGCGCAGCACCGACACCCGAACCGTCCTTTGCAATACCAATCCTGACCCTCTTCTCTCCCTGCTCGCCAATATCCGGAACCCCACGCAGCGCCTCGCGGATGTGCTCTTCGAAATTGGGGTAGAACTCCACAAGCGAGCCATCCACACCGACATCAATCATGTCCTCGTCTGCGACCTCCACCTCTCCGCGCGACAGGTCGATGCCAGACTTCTGTTCTGTTGTCGCAGTGCCGGTAGTCTTGTTCAGGCGGCCTGTGTTGATGACAATACCGGCAATAGCAACAGCGGCAAGACGGGCTGCACGGCGGCCGATAGCTCCAGCAATCTCGCGCACTGCCTCTGCATCCTCGGCGCTCACGGCTGAGATGTCGTACTCCTTGTCGAGAGTCTGCCTTAGCATGCGGTATCCGGGGCTGCTATCGCCGGCACAGGTACTCAGGAAGCTGGTGTCGATACCCCATTGCTTCCATATAGGGCTGCTGTCGTGTATCTGTGTGGTGCTGTGTACGTCGTTTGACGAAGAGTTGTCGTCGGCAAAGAGAGGAACAGCAGGGTCCTTGACCAGCTTGAGAAGTGCTAGTCGAAGGAGCTCGCCCAAGAACATGCCCGAAACGCGCTTCTCGAACATCTGAATGCCAGGGTTGACCGAGTTCTTGTCCAGTTCGACATCGTACGGTGTGTTGGGCAGCGTGCGCAGAGAGTTGTCGAACGAGCCCCATTCAGTGTTGACAATCATCTCGCCAGTCGACTTGTCATACTCGCCGGCGTTCTGATCTTTTGTGAGCTTGGTGACCTTGCTCAGCTTCTCAACGTAGGCACCATTGGTACCAGTTCCAAAAATTGCACCGAGGAGAGTTCCAGTCTTGCCGGGCGACGTGTATGAGCGCGCCATGAGCGTTCCAACAGTATCGTTCACCAGCGCAGCCACCTTGACTGGGAGGTGTAGCTCGTCAATCTCGGTTTGTAGCAAAGCGCAGACGTCCTTGCCAATCGCATCCTGGATGTCGAAACCCTTTGTCCAGCGCATGAGCATGCCCTTGTTGATACCGATCTGGTTTACTGGGAAGGAGAACGTGAATCCCAGGTTGAAGATCTCTTGATCTGGTTCCATATTACCCGTCTCTCTGCGCTTCAGTGTTCCAGCATAGTGTTCTTCGTGGTGTGCTTTCAGGAAGAGCTCGATCTGCTTAGCGAGGAAGGAGAAGAGCTCTTTTGACGTCTTTGCGACCATAAGCTCACGAGGTATAGCGACTTTGCTCTGGGTGAGGGAAAAGGTGGTGTTGCCGTGTAGCTGTATCGAGCATACGCGGAAGTTGGTGCCGCCGAGATCGACGGCCATGTAGAGGCCCTATAGCTCAGTTAGAGAGGGTTTTCAACTTTCCAATGTAGTTGTACCTTCTCGGTGCCATTGGGCACTGCAGTAACGTAGGTTGGGATCTGGCTCATCTCAGTGCCCTCCTGTTGCAGGCCCTCATCTGCCACCCGTCAGCGTCTTGTGTGCCTAGTACATGCTCTTGCGCATACCCATCTCCCGAATGAACTCCTTGACAGCCTTGTTGACAGCATCTTTCTCGAAGTCGAATTCCGCGGCCACGCGCTTTGCTTGGTCGGCGAGAGTCATGCTGCGCTCGTGTTTGGTGTTGAACGTGCCTTTGAACTCGACGTGCTGCTCAGGCTTAGGGCAGATATCAGGCTGCTGGAATACGAGGGGGTTTCGTAGACTTATACTTGGGGAAGAGGCACGCCAATGCTGTGTTCGATCGAAGAGTTCGCGGACCGAGACAGGGAAGCGGGGCGCAATCAGGAACGCTAATAGCAGGCCGACAACTACAACTATTGTGTGGGTCGCGTGAGAAAACCGAGCCGGGTCACGCTGTCGAACTTTTCCCGTGATTGAGGGGTCAATGGGTGCGTTTGTGGCTTTGGCTGGGCGTGAACTGCTGCTGGTCGCGTTCATCCTAGGCCCCGCGTTTGGGTGGTACGACACGACCCAATGACGAAAGGGGGGTAGGCTCAAGCTCCGAGCTGCATCAACCAGTGCGAGAAACGACGTGCATGCCAACGCGTTGAGAGCGGGAAGGTATTAATGCCTCGCAATTGGAACGGCCGTCGCCCTTCTTGAGGAAGTGTGCTTGCACTGCGCAGCGCTAGTGACACAGAAACGAGGGGTTCTCGCGCCCGAGCAATAATGGCCCGAGGACATCACGAAGCCATCGGCACGCCAGCTGTAATCTCACATGTCTTCATTACGTCGGCGGCTGAGACGGCTGCACATCCCCATGTTTGGCATGGCGTGCATGTCACAACCAGGCCACGCAATATACACGTCCCAACACCTAACAGTTAGACATCGGCATTCTCTGATCCCCGGGCTTCAGATGTCAACCGTGTAATGCGTAGTACCTCAAAGCTGTACTGTTAATGCGATGTCGCTTGTCATGTATCCTCCCGTTGCTGTGCTTTAAGACTATGCCATGTCTTGGTAGGCGTCGTGTCAGCCAGAGAACGGCTCCCCGCGAATCAACCATCTCACTAGCGTACCACTTGTGAAAGGTGGGAAAGGAACGTCTTGCTTTTGTTGCTCGCCTAGCTATGTATGCATCGCAAAGTGTCGCCCGCGCTCCACTCATCCTCCTCCGCTTTCTTTCCTCGATATCAAGACCGCTCTGCACGTCGCTTCAGGAATAGGTAAAAGTACACTCTGTCAGCAGATACAGCACTGGAGGAATGAGATGCCTCTCTGGCAGAGATAGTGCCCGAAACCGAAAACATGTGCATGTATCGAAAAAGAACTCCTAATGCCAACCAAACTGCGCGAGCCCATGCAAAGAAACCATGATTAGCGGGTGCCAGTGTGAAGAAAGGAGCGCCTGGGGCGTTTACAATATGTACGATAGAGACAAAAAGAAACCTGAAGCAACAACCCTGTGACAAGGTCGATCTGTGTACGTGCAAATGTCCTCCCGCTCGCCTAAAGTCTAATGCTCGTCATTAATGGTCCGCCCTGGGCCGCCACATCAGCCCCTGGCCGTTCGTAAGCCTCGCTCAACACGGTGTTGCTGTCGAGGGTTGATAAAAGATGCGTATGCGATTTCAAGGAAAGTGTTCGAATGATTGGATGGTGTATACCGCCAGGAAGCAGTTTCGTGTCGAGATGGCCCAGAAGAACCGATAGATAGAAGTCGTCATGTGTCACCGAATCGAAGCCGGTGTCCACGCAACCTTGCAACATGGCCCGAGTTGGTAGCCCAAATGTAGTCGATAGATCCGTCGTTTTATCGAACGCCGAGAGGAGGCCGAGGTCCTAGAGAACTCTGGCTGCTGTGGGCAGAATCTTCAGTGCTAGCAGATGCCGACCCAGTTAGACTGCGAACTTGAGGACGAGACTTGGGTGGGTAAAGGTTGCTCACCCCTGCGTATTGTTCTACTTGTTGCGGCGCCACCGAGTTGCCGTGTCCGGGAGGATGTCTAGGCATCGGCTGCCTCATACCCGGAGGCGAAGGGCGTCCGTTTGGTTGCATCCCATTCGGAGGCATGCCATTCGGTGGCATACCATTGGGAGCATAACCGTTGGGAGGCGATGGTCGACCCATTGGCCTCGGGCCAGGGCTCAGGGGATTGCCAGGAGACTGGCTCGTTCGGCGGCTAGCAGGGTAGGGACCGTAGCCTCCTCCACCCATCTCGTCTAGGCGGGCAGCGGTGAGGGAGTTGGTTCTCGATTGCGCACCCATAGCACCTCTGTCAACATCTCCATAGCGGTTGGAAGAGTAGCCCATAAGAGGGTTTGACATTAAACTGTCGTGCAAGCCCGGAATCTCGCTCACCATTCTTGCGCTGCTCCGATTCTTATTCAGGCCAGGGCGAGCAAATGGGTTTCGCGACCGTCCGCCGTTGTGCTGAGGGGCAAACCCGCCTTCAGGGTTCTTTCGAATTTGACTCGCACTAGGCGCCTTACGGTTGCGACGCGATGTGACACTCATCATATCAAAGTTGTCTGGGTCAATCGATGGTCCCTGAGCATGTCCACCCATAGGATCGAAATAATCGTCCTCATCATCGTCGTCATCGAAGCCGCCAATTGACTGTGGTGGCGGAGGGCGACCGCGTCCCATGGCAGGCCCCATACCCATTCCTGGGCCTGGTGGACCTCGTCGCATGTTGAGTTCTTGTTCTCTGAGTTGGAGTTCTCTCTGCCTGAGCATCAGCTCCCTCTCGCGAAGAGAGAGATTGTTGGAAGAGTTGCCTGCGCCCTCGTAGTTGCCGTTGGGTGCTCCTTCTCCAACCATGTCATCATAGAGCATAAGGTGTGAAAACTCTTCCAAGTTGCTGCTGTCTTCGAATGATGGTCGACGTTGGCCGTTGGGTCCGCCATTCATCCTGGGTGGATAACCGTTCGGGCCTGGTGGATAGCCGTTCGGACCTGGTGGTGGACCACGACGCACTGGGGGGCCTCCATTCATAGAAGGAGCCCGACTTCCGGCACGTGGCCCGCCCTTCATCATAGGACCATTGCCGTTCATCATCGGTCCGTTACCATTCATCATCGGCCCATTGCCATTCATCATGGGTCCCCCAGGCCCTCCTGGTCCTCGTGGCAAGGGCGCAGATGACATTCTGGGTGGCGGCATGCCGTTTGCTGGAGCTGGTGTGGGGGCGGGAGCT